TGAGGTCTGAGTTGGTCACAGAGCATCTTCGGCAGCTTGCTGTGGTCTGGTGTGTGGTGCTATCTTGTTTGTGATCTAACAAATGAAGCTTGCGTGAAGATCAGAGTGTGGCACTTAACCACTAGTTAGCTATAGATGCCAGCCAATGGTGGCACACACCTTTAATCCCAGCCCTTTGGAGATAGGGGCAGATGGATCTCTGTGAGTTCACCCTGGACTTCATGAGAGATTGAATTATCTGAAAAGAGAAACAGAGCCAAGAGCTGGTGGCTCGTGCCTTTAATCCCAGCACTAGGGAGGTGGAGACAGGAAGTGATATAGCTGGGCAGAGAGAGGAATATAAGGTGGGGGGAGACAGTAGCTCAGGGTTCAGTCTGAGGACTTGAAGAGACAGGATATCCAATTCGGTCTGAGGATTTCGTAGAGGTAAGAACTAGTGACTGGCTGCTCTGCTTCCCTGATCTTTCAGCTTTCACCACCCTAATACCTGACTCTGGGTTTTTATTATTAAGACCAATTAGATTTGTGCTACACTGGCTCACTGGTGTAGGCGCTGCCAGGCCTAGAAGAGGTCCAGCTCAGCAAAGAGAGGAACCTATCTGAGGCTTCGAGGAGGTGGAGGCAGGGCTAGGACGGGACCAGAGGCAGCCCATACACCAGCTGTGCTTACAGGCTGTGACCCGCCTGCTTTCTGGACAGATGTGCACGATACAACTGTCTCTGAATTCGGAGCTTCTGCCGATTGACCAGGCAGGCCAGGGCTCCCCTGGGGGCCCTTGGTGCTTCTGCCATCAGCGGGTACCATGGCCAAGTGTAATTCAGCCTGAAGTCTTCCTCTGAAGATCCTGGATCTTTTGTGGCTCCCATCGCATCACAGGATGCATGTTCTCTCTAGAAAAACTCAAGTCTCCAACAAAATCTACAATTCCTAGGCCAGTGAGATGGCTCAAGGGAAAAGGCGCTCGCTGCCAATCCTGACGACTGGAGCTCTAGCTCTGGGACCTGCACAGGGGAGGAGAAAACCGACTCTTGAAAGCTGACCTCTGACCTCTGAGGTGTACACCTGCATGCATACACATGCACACGCACGCACACACATACACACATGCACACACACATACATACATGCACACACACACACACAGGACAGGCTATTGAGGAATGTGGATTTCATTGAGAGGATTTAACTTAGAGTTTTAGGGTTGATTTACTGGAGTGCAGGTCCTGACCTGCCCTCTCACCCTGAGGTCACACATACCTGCAGCCAGGGCCCCAGGAAGCCCCTTTGATTGGCTCCTGTAGTGGCCAGCATCACACACTCCTGGTGGTGGCAGCAGAGGCTGGGACTGCAGTCTGGTGGGATGGGAAGGGAAAGCAAACCTGGCATCCTGGCTGAACAGGGAGCTGGGCACAGAAGCCCTTGATATCCCTCACCAAATCCTAGCCCTGAGGGTGCAGATATCCCAGAGGTCTTTCTCCCCCTCCTCTTTCTCTGCCTCTCTTTCCCTCTTCCCCACCCCTTCCCCCCCTCTGAAGAGAGAGATTATAAGACAATAATGTAGTAAAGGCTGGGTTACCAGCTATGGGAATTTTGTAGAAAATAAGGAAGGGAGACAAGGCTGGATGGTGTGTGGCCTCCCGGAGGCTGTGGTGGTCTCTGAGTCCAGACCTGGATGCTAGGATGGAGCCTTCAAAGACACGGGCAAGAAGGCAATGTCCCAGCCGAAGGGACAGTGGTGCAGAGCCGACTATCAGCAGCTGGCTCAAGCGCACCCCATTAAGACTGGAGGAACCAGTGGGGGGCAAGCTGAAAGTATGCATGTGGGGGTGCTGTGTGAATGGTGAGCAGGCCAGGGTTTGATCTTAAGCCTCTGGCCAGATGTGCCTTCTGTGTGGACGCAGGAGGACCTGGCAGACAGGAAGGGCGCGAAGAAGAGCCCTCAGATAGGAGTCTTGGGTTTGTGGTGGGGGCAGAGTTGTAAAATCCGCCGACCTCCTGGGAGTCTGGAGCCTGCAGGTAGCCCCTCCCCCTACATCGCCCCCGCCCCAGGCATTGGTCATCTGTCACTTCTCAGACTCCCTCTGCTCGTCCTGGCCATGTGGGCTCAAGGGATAAAGTGGAACCCATGTCCTCTCTGGCTTCCCCCAGAGGGCTGACCATCTTCAGATACGTCGTTGCTGGAACTGGAGAATCCAGCCGGTGTGGGTGCGAGAGGTAGGGTGAGGTGTGGAAGGCAGAGGTACCCACAGAACACTCCTGGCATATCCTAGGCTGGGATACCCAGACCCCAGTTCCAGCCAAGGCTCTTGTTGCTGTCTTTCCCAGGTTACATCCGGGCTACAGAGCCCAGGAGGAGCATGTGTTTGGGGTCCTCCACCTGACAGGGAGTTTCAAAGTGCTTGCTCCTATCCTGAGTACTGGCCTTCAGTGGGTGGCACAGGAACGTGGGAGACCATCCAGGGCAAAATGGTCACAGCATGACTGAACATGTGTTCCAGATGCCGCTGTGGGTCTCTCTCTCTCTCTCTCTCTCTCTCTCTCTCTCTCTCTCTCTCTCTTTCCAAACAAAAACCAGCGTGAGCCAGGGAAGTGACTCAGGGGGCAAGGGTGCTTTTTGCCATGTCTGATGACCTGCAAGGAGAGAACCCACCCCTGAAAGCTGTCCTCTGACCTCTGCCCTCACACCACGGTAACACGTGTACACATAATACCACACCACACGTGTATAAATAGGTAATGTATAAATAAATGGACTTACATAAAAAGTCAAAGAATGTCCTGAAATTTTCCGAACACATAATTAGCATCTTATCTTAAAATATTGCTTTGGTAGCCTAGGTCTCAGGTAGTTGAGGCTGGCCTTGAACTGATGCCCCTGCCTCAGCCTCTTGATGACGGGATTGCCTGTGTGCATCGCTGCTGGCTTCCAAACAGCATCTTGAAGCTTGAAGCTCAGCGACCTCCATTCATCTTGTGATACGGCCGAGCTTCTGCCTGCTCCCAGCATATTTAACCCCCAGAAGAAACCTGGGACCATAGTGTTTGTTTGCCATTACACCACCTTAGACTGGAACCCCTGGATCTGCCTTTGGCTCCCTCTGTAGACTTCCTGTCCTGTACCTGTCGAAGCAACAGACTCAGACACTGGGTGGCTCAGCGCTGTTCTCACGGCTCATCCACATTGGGGGTTTTGAGTCGGCAGCTTGTCCCTGGTCACAGCCAAATGCCACCTACTGTGTGCTCGGGTCACATCTTGTCTTTCAGCTCTTCTGCCGATGTGTTCCTGACCCTCCACCCCACCTGGCTAAAGTGAACAGTGCTTCTGTGAAGGGACATAGGCTTTGCTGTCCTTTCCCTTTCTGAGCTGGCATAGTCAGTGTAAAGGGGAGAAAAGGACCACATGGCCTGTAGGTCAGGACCTCAGAGCAAGGGTCTGAAGGTGTTAGCTTAGTCCAGCTGACCCATTCACACCATTCATTCCCCATCCACCAGCCTGGCCCTGCTGGCAAGCCCATCATGACCAATGGCTCCTCACCAGAAAGGACAAGCGCCCCCACAACTGGTGAAGGCAGGTTTCTTCTGACCCTCTGTGTTGGTTGGCCAATGCTGTGTCAAGCCTTCATAACTGTGGTAAATGGGAAGTGGGGAAAATTAATTCCTATTATTAAAGAAGAGTATAGATTAATTGTTCATTCCTGAGCTTATTATAGTTGTGTGAGCTGAGCTGATTATAGTTGTGGAGCAAGGCGCTTAATGTCTCAGAGTCCGACTTCTGAAGAGGACGGGGCTGTGACTCTCGGGTGCCGTCCTCCCTTCCTGGGTGAGCCTCCACCCTCAGGTGCCTATGCTCTGCTGAGCTGCTGTACTGGCTCTTCCAGCTTGTGCTACTTCTCTGGGGACCGATGGCCTGGCCGGTGCCATCTCTAGAGCGTGCCACAAACCTCTATGAGCCACCGCCTGCCTGGGGTCAGGCAAAAGTGACAGATCTGCCCTGCCAGCCCTGGGCAAGTCTGGACCTGTCGGCTTGGCAGTGCAGGGCTGGGCCAGACTGACTCCCAGGGCTCAGAAGGCTGCCCCAGGGAGCTGTTCCTCAGCTGGGATAGGGGCAGCAGCGGGCAGGTGGACTGGGGTTCCCCTGCTCCACCCGCTTCCTGGGTGGAGTCTCCATGTTGGAGGCTGTGCTAAGGAAATAGTAAGGAGAGAGCTAGTGGGTTCTAGCTGGGGTCACAGTAACCCTCCTCCCCTTTATCTCCTTGAGGAGGAGACCACTCACAGGTGACAACTCCAGGACAGTCTCAGGGCCTTAGCTTTAGACTCTGTCAAGTTTTCTTCTCTGTGGGTCCAGAGAGGACCCCTCCCCTCTTGAGTTCCGCAGCAGCCTGCATAGCTACGCGTCCCAGACCTGGTTCCAGCAGGGGGCACTCTGCCCATGCTCTTACTAAGAGGAACTGATGATGTCTGAGCTGTCTCCAAGTCCTGGGCACCTGGCACAACCTTCCCCCACCAAACACACAACCAAGACCTGGCTTGACCTAACCCTGGCCATACCTGTCGGCTCAGAACACGGTGATGGCAGCCCTGGCTTATTCTTGCGCAAACTGCCCCAAGACCCTGGAGACTAAATTCACTCACCCCATAGCGTCTACACAAGGGGTGCCCTTGTTACCCGTTTCCCCGGAGGTTGTTTACTGCCTGTCCGGAGCCCTTCCCACCCCAGCAGAATCTAGGAATGATGTATCAAGAACCAAATTTGCCTCTGTCTCACTTCCTGGGCCAGTGGATGGACTGCTTGAGGGGGAAGAGGAGAGAGGGGCAGGAGAAGAGAGTGGGAAGGAAGAGGAGGGCACAGCGGTGGTGTCAGCAGCATGGGCAGGAGCTTGGCAGCTGCTCTGGGGTCTCCCCTGCATGGTCACAGCCCTGCTCACTTCACTCACCTGGTACTGAGAAGGCAGAGGGTGGGGCTCCCTGGATGCTCACGTTGTCCTCCTTCTCCCTGCAGAATGAGCCGCAGCGTGGGAGAGATGACCCAGTCTGCCTCTTCCTCCCCTGGCGAGGGAGCTACCTTCGAGCATCTGTGGAGTTCTCTGTGAGTCTGGAGACCCCCCTCAACCATTGGGCTTGCTTCACCTTGGCTGGCTTGGAGCAGGTTGGAAGAGGGGTCTGCCGGAGTAGCAGCTGCCCTAGGCCGTTGCCTGGGTGGTCTGTCCTCTGGGCAGTGCTCTAGATGGCTATGGGCAGAGAGGTCCAGGCACAGAGATCATGTATGCACAATGATGTCATTCCAGTACTGCCAGGTCTGAGGGACAAGCCAAGGGCTGGTGAGGTGGGGACGGGAGCAGGAAAGCTCCAGGAGGTGGAGGACTACGATCGATCTCTTGGGACACACAAATGCTGCCAGTAGCCATGGGGTAGCTTGCATCCTGAACCAGGGGGACTCAGGGGATGCTGGACCAGATGCTAACAGCCGATTTTCTCCCCCCACAATGCAGGGAGCCAGACAGCACCTACTTCGACCTTCCCCAGCCCAGCAGGGGGAACAGAGAGGCAGTGGGCAATGAGGAGACCAGCATGGATGTCTTCCACCTGCCGGGCATGGTGAGTGGGGCGGTCCTTGCTGAAGACGAGATTGGTAATAAACAGGGGTCGGCTTTTCTCAGGAGCCAGGCAGAATGAGGAAGCCAGGGCTTTGGGTGGCCCACCTTGTGTTAGTCAGGACACTTCAAATTATAAAGAAGTAAATATATTTAACTTATAAGAAGTAGAACCAGCTTGTCTTATGTCAGCTCCTAGGTAGGAATGAATTTAAGCATGATTGGTTCCCGTGTGGGAGGAGCTGCCGACTGGACCCAGGGGTGGAAGGAGCTGCCTCTTTCACCTGTTTCTTTCTTTAGTTTTTCCTGAGATGCCCTTGTTTTCAGGCGGCCTCACCCCTCAGAAAGAAGGAAGTTGGGATTCTCTAACATCTCAAGGCCCTTTGGAGAGGGCCCGTCTCTTTTTCCATTGCTCAGAAAGCCGCTCCATGTTGGTCTGAGTAGGCGCGTTGCTGTCTGTCTCTGAGCTATCCCTATCTTTCTTGTCCCCTTTTCCACTGTGGACCAGGTCAGGATGGAGGGCAGTGGGCTAAGCACTCTATATGAGAAGGGAAAGATGTAACCAATGGGAACAGTCTCTTTCCTGGACCAGAAGGGGTACCAGCCCACCAGCTCCTACTGGGAACTCTTGTCTAGAAGGCAGAAGGCAAGCCACAGTAGTTAGTGCGGTTCTGTCCCTGACCCACTCTCCGGCTGCCGCTGCGATGTCCTGCTGATGCCAGGAGCTGGAGGGAGGTGGCTGGTGCATGTAAGAAGGGGCCTGTGACGACCTCTGGTCCTGAGGTCTTCTGTCTTCAACAACCTCCCCACTGGCCCACCAGGGTGCTGGGATCCCATGAGACATGGAGGCTGGGAAGGTGTCAGGTGGGTACTCATTGGAGGAACCCTGCAAGCATATGAAGGAAGAGCACATGCCAGCTGCAGAGGCACCAGAGAGCTGAGCAGGTCTTCAGGACAGCCTTTCTCCCACTAGCCCCTGAGGACCCACGTGCCAGAGGGCCGGGGACTAGAGAGGCTGGGAAAGTGTGAGGCGAACTCACACCGGAAGGGGAAGTCTGCTCACCTTGGAGGCCCCGTGGAGCTGTCAGAATGAGTGTACAGCAAGGCTGAAGAGGCAGGAGACATCTCCTTGTGGTCCCACCCCCTTCTGTAGAGGGTAGAGCATGGGTCAGGGCCTACTGGTCCCCGTAGAACTAGAAGACTGTCTCCTACAGCGGCAGCCCCGGTGGGCCGGGGTCTTTCAGGTGTCGGCCTGGTGATGTCCACGTCTCTGAGCTCTGCCTGTCCAGCCCTGGTCTCTGCCTGCTCAGGAGACTGTCTCAGAGTTCACCTTCATTCAACACCTTTGCTTGTCCGTGTGACAGGCATGACAACTGAGGCAGATACTGCAGCAGGGGTATCCTGGGGTTTAGGAACAGAAGACAGCCGTGCAGTATGGCAAGAAGGATAGTCCCCCACCCTGCCTGTTACCCCTTAGTGACAAGATCCTGACCCTTGTTGTCTACGATACTGATGTCTTCCAGTCTAGAGAGACAGGCAATGGCTACCAGGCTGCAGGGAGGGGGGACCTTATACAAAGACTCTAAAGATGCCTGCCTTGGCAATGCTGGAAGCTGCCTCCCCCGGCCCAAGCTGCCCAGCCCATGCCTGAGAGGACAGAATTCTCAGAGACCCCACTGACCTACCTGGGTGGGGGTCTTGGACTGAAGGTGTAAACAGGGCACAGTCCCAAGCCCCCAAGGCTAGGGATATGGTACCCACCCCTGGCCCTAAGGATACCCAATGTAAACATGTTGGCAGGGTGCTCATGAGACCTCACCTGCTGGGGCATGCTGCTCCCAGCGGGGGTAACTCGGGTGGGGCACAACGCCTCCACAAACAAGGGGCCCGCTTTGTCAGGTAGCAACATGCCTTGCAGTAGAGCCATGGATGAAATTCCTGGGTGCAAAGCTCAGCTCCTGGAAGTGGGAATTCCCTGGAGCCAGGACTTCCTGGCCTCCTTCTTCAGGCTTCACCTGACCCTTATACCCAGTCCTCTCAAGATACAGCTACAGACCCAACAACTGTATGTTTCAAAATTCCCAGCCGCTCTGATAGCAAAAGATCAAGACTCAGATATAAGCCACATCTTTGGCCATCTGGCGGCTGTGCTCCAGACTCATTGGCAGGAAGACAGCCTTGCCACCCTTGGCAGAGGGCTGCAGAGGGCTATGGGGAACTGCAGGGGACAATAGATGTTTCATACCTGAAATGAGGTGGTTGAAGTTTGAGCTCATATATGACACGGCTGATTGCAGCTTATCGGGATCACAATGCTTGGGGAAGGAAGGGACAGCTTGACACTGTAGGATGCATGCTCCCAGAGCAAGGCGAGGTGGACAGTGTTGGGATTCGCAGCCATCAGCTGAGTCCGTGGGACGGAGGTGGCTGTGGAAATAACAGCTTGGGGTGGCTTGGGGACCTGCAAGGTCCCTCACTGTTGCAGGTAGGGGCTCTAAGGAAGCAGTGGTCAGGGCTCAGACTGAGAGTACATACTCCCGGTCTGGGGAAGGCACAGACGGAGGAGGGTAGCCTGCAGAGGTCCACACTCCCACGTGTCAGCTGCATGGGTGCTCTTACATGTGGAGTGTGTAGCCCAGGAGTGGGGCTAATGGCTCCCATTCGGGGGCTCGGAAGTATGACAGACATCAGAGGGAGGAGTTGGCCACACTCACACAGAGAGGAGGGTGAGCGTGCCGTGGACTCACATGTGGGTTCCGTGTGTTGTTTCAAACAGGACACCAGCACAGAGTAAGGCCCCCACCTCACACCCCACAGTCTGCAGCAGCTTCTAAAGTATTGGGTGGCTTTTAAGATGTTAGAGCTCAGGGGGACTGGGCAGTACAGAGAGGAAACGGAGCTGAGACAGCAGGGGTACCTGGGCCCATTCAAGGCTATGACTGGATGGGAGCTCCCAGATGCTAGCCCCACTCCTGGGAACTCTAGCCCCCCCTCTGGCTGGGTCCAGCACAAGGAATACTACCCAGCTCACTCTCAGGTCAGCGAGCAGTTCTGGAATCTGAGGTACCGAGGGCTCTCAGCAACCCCACCTCCTGTGTCCTCAGGGACCCTCACCCATCCCCACAGAAGCTCGCCCAGTGCTGACTGGTACCTAGTTGTTCCTATGTGCTGGATATCCCCACCCAAATGCCAGGATAGTCTGGCAAAGGTGGTCCGGCTTAAGCCAGCACAGTTCTTGAACAGGTGGGACATCTCTTCGATGGTTTATGCTGTGACCAAGGGACCTCACGTGGGAGATTGCTTCCTGTCGCATGGGAGGTCTTGAACAGGTCTACCAGCTACAGTGAACCCTCAAAACCACACGATACCCTTCACCCCACCTTCATGGCTGGCAGAAACCGGTACCGTCAGTGAGTTCAAGTTCTCACATGCCTCTGAGTCTCCGTGTCCTTGCTTGTGAAGTTGGTGTGACGGAAGGGGCTAGAATAGAGAGGATGCTGGGGGATGTGCAGGATCCTCAGAAGTACCAGCGGATGCTGGGAACCAGCTCATCTGCCTGGGCTTGTGTGGAGGAAGGGGCTTGACATCTGACCACGTCCTTGTCTTACTCGAGGAGACTGTGTTGTGGGGTTAAAGAAAATGGGGTAAAAAGGAACAGCTGGGCCCCTGGTGGGTTGTGGAAGAGCCCCAGACTTGGTGAGGGAAGCCGTGAGCCCCTGTGGTCTTAGTTTCCTGTGGCCATGTAGACAATGTAGCAGAATCTAGAAGGTTGTGATGGGTAGGGGGAAATCGAGGTCCCAAAGACTAAATGTCCTGGGTTCCTAGCCCATCCTGGCCTTCTAAGCGGGGAGACCACAAGGTCTTTTAGTCTTCTGGGTCTCAGTGGCCCCATTGGTAAAATGGGGAGATGGACAGTTAGAATTCTCTAGGATTTGGGGGAACAGGTGCTCTTTCTCCCACGGGAGTGATGGGGAGGGCAAGGATGGGGTCCTATGTTTCCCAGGCTGTTTCCTTGAAGGCCCTGAACAGTTTGCCACGCAGAGGCACTGAGTCCTCCAGCTGGTTTTCCCCGTGTCCAATTCGGCCTTTGTGTATGCAGCTCCTTGCCCTGGCAGTGGTTTTCAATTCTAGCTGCCCTCGAAGATTCCAGGACCAGGCTTTAAAACAGGCCCTGGTCGCTAGGTGTTGTGGCCCATGCCTAAAATCCCAGCTCCTAGGTAACCCTTCTAGGGGGATCTCAAGTTTGAGGCCAGCCTGATCTACCTAGGGAGACCCTGTCTTAAAAATGAAGTGACCCCTGTCCAACAAGAAGAGGACTCAGAGCAGTACTCTCCCAGGTACTGTGTAGGGTGAGCTGGGGGTGGGGCCCATGCCAAAGGCTGGGCATGGGAATGACTGCTCCAGCCTATTCTAGGGTGCCCAGCAAGGTTGAGATGCTTCGGATGCGGCAGTGCATGTGGGGGGGGGGGGGGGGGAGTCCCAGATCACTGAGGCTTCCACCACAGTGACTGGAAGATTGAAGGAAGGGCAAAGTCCCCATCATGAACACCAACTGCTGCCAAAGGACTGTAGAAGTTTGGCTTTGAGGGCAGGAACCCCAATTCTCACCCCATAAACATGATAAACATGTTGTGAGATCAGCCCCTTCACTCCAATTCCTTAGTCTCCGTGAGCCATATGAAGATAGGCACCAACAGCCAGAGCCCCTCCAGCTCTTAGGGTGCAGAAAACGCATAGAGGGGGCCGTGGTTCCACAAAGGAAGGGGGAGAGAGGCAGGTGCCCCAGGTGTGGCTGCAGGATCGCCGCCCTTTCCTCCCCTCTCCACGTCCTCCTCCAGGCCTGCACCTCCAGTAGAGGCACCCCCTTCCCGCTGTTTCTGGCGCCTTTCTCTGCAACAGCTGTTGTGAGCAGGTGGGCCCCAAAGGGTAGGGGTGGTTCTGCTGCTGGATAGGGCAGAAGGTTCTGTGCTGATCTCCCTGTGACCTGTAGGGAGTAAATGCCTTGAGACCCCAAGGGGCATCCAAAGAAGCCTTCCTGGCTTTGAGGAGGGGAGGTCTCTCCTGACCGAGAAAAGGACACACGTGGGCCAGTGTGTGCATCTTTGGGGCAGGTAGGGCAGGAAGGATGTAGATATCTTTGCAAGAAGTTACAGTGAGAGGAAGGGTGGAACTAAGCTGGGGACAGGGACGGGGTTTAGTATAATCCACTTGGGCACCCCAAGCCCACCCACCACCCCTAGTAGTTCCTGGCCACCCTTTCCTTGATAGACTTTAGTGGTAAGAGTCTTACGTGGCCACCCTTACCTTGATAGACTTTGGCGGTAAGAGTCTTACGTGTACAGTACTGAACTCAACCAACCCGCAAATCCTCTACCCCACGCCAGGGTCCAGGGGAAGAGGGACAAAGCCGCCAGCAGGGCTGAAGTTCCCTGCCACTGCCTGGGGGCACCTGAGGACCCCTGCCACTACCGGGGGTACCTAGGAGTACCTGGGGGCATCTGAGGACCCCTACCACTACCTAGGGACATCAGAGGACACACTGGAGTTACCTGCAGACCTTCGCTGCTGCCTGGGGGCACCTGAGGCAGACAGACAGACCACCCAGGAGGAGGCAGGAGCCAGGCTGGGGCAGGGGCTGCAGTGGGGAGGAGAGCTCAGAGATGGACACATCTTCCGTCATGGGACTCATAGGCTCTCAGGCCAGGTCCCTCGTCTGGAACTGTGGACACGAGCACAAATTATCACCTGCGTTTTCTCCTTTGCAAAACCAACATGACAGTTGATTGATGAGGACTCAGAGCTGCCGAGGGGCACAGTTCCCTAAACCCCATTCTGGAAACTGAGGGCCATCTCTTCAGGGTTCTCTGGAGCAGCCAGGCCACACCTACTGGGGTGGACGTCTGCAAACCTATCCCTTAGCCCCCAGGAGAGAAACTGCAGATGCCCCCCCAGAACTTCTTACTATGAACCCCAGTTTGAGCAGTGTTTCTCAAAAGATTTTTCCCCCACAAAATTTTTCTTAACAAACTGGCTTTACTGTTCATATCTGACTTAGGAGCAGTGAGGTGGAGCTGTGGCTTTCGCCCAGGGTAGGGTTCCGGATGACGTAGGGTACCTCCACTGCTTCTGTGGGTCTCCGAACTCTGAATTAGTGCTACAGCTACAGTTCCCACCCAAACCCAGCTACTCCCAGTTTTCTGGAGAGGCAGAAGGTGGTTTGGAACTTGGCAAGAAAGGACTAGGAGGGCTCAGTCTCCATGCCGTCTCTGCATCTTCTTGAACATCTTTAAACTTTCAATGTGGGGATCACACTGATGTGTTTTAGGGGGCCTGGAAATCCAGGGCCAATGTCCACTTCCACAGGACACACATCTGTTGTAGACAAGGTGGGTTCAGGTACCTACACCAAAGGTGACTTCGTGGTTTGAAATAAACCTGAGACTTAGATGACCCCAGACAAAGAGCAGTGGTAACCGCCATAGGGCCACCACTGGGCAGATGCTGATGTAGAGCCCCTGGCTCTGTAAGGTCTGTAGTGGTTGAGATGCATTCTAAAGGGGTCCCTCAGGAATTCTCTTTGGTGGGGTAGCCATGTCCCTGCTTCCTGGGCTTAGTTAGAGCCAGGAAAAAATACTATCTATAATGCAATGCTATGGGTTCTTTGGCTCCACCCACAAGTGTGGACTTTTGACCACCTGATCCTGTGCCTGGCTCTCCACGGGTGCCCTGGCACAAGCATAATGGTGTGTCTTTCCTCTATTCAGGCCTTGGAGTGGTCCCTATGGGCCCACAGTTCTCTGAGAGGAGGCAGGTCCTCTCACCTGGGTCTCCAAGGCTGGCAGCACCACCTGTTCCTTCAGGGTGGCCAAGCCCTGGCTACCAAGGTCTCCAAGACCAGGGCTGACCGCTCATGCTTTGGAGCGGCAGCTGCTTATAGGTGACAGTCGCGGCCCCCAGAGCCTTCACTGGGGGGCAGCTAGGAAGGAGCACGGTGGGAATGGGTGATCTCCGAGCCAGCCAGTGACCCTGCATCCCCACCGGCTCCCCCTGTGCAGCCTCCTTGGTGCGGTCCAACACATCTCCGGGCAAGCTGAGGCCTGCCCTGCGTTGATGAATAGTCATGAGGAAGAAAGGGGTGGGCCCTGGTTTGTTGTTGGATGCAGCCAGTTGACAGAAGTAAGGGAGAAAGGCAGGGTGAGAATGCCAGCCCACAGCCCACACGCTCCTGAGCATCCTTGGCTCCTACTTTCCTAGCCAGACAGCCTCAGCCCCTCCTCAGTCCACCCCACCGGGAAGCCACCAATCTGCCCCTACCCCACCGAGCCACCCAGACCCATGCCTCGTCCCGCGGCACACCAGCTCCTCAGCGTGTGCAGCCCCCCACAAGCATACCATGCTTTACGTCGGTGACCCCATGAGACACCTTGCCACGGTAGGTGTGCTGTGTCCGGTCTACTTGGAGACCTGGTGCCATGCATCTCTGGGGCTTGTCAGGGTCTGCCATGGTTGGGGTTCAGAGAGACATTCTCTCACCTGTCTCCATGGCCAAGTGCCTGCTACCAGGTGGGGTGACCAGTGGCGTTGGGGAGGCTGGAGGCAGATCCTGGGCTGGAGGGTGGACGGCTCTAGTTCTCTTCATTCAGAGGTGACTCTTGAGGACCAGAAGCTTCTGGCAGAGCAGCAAGTGAGAAGCTGGAGGGAGGCTCTGCTGGTGTCTGATGGGGTGTCTGAGTTACTGCCCTGTGAATTGGGTGATCCTGAAACAGTTTTTGAGTCTGGTGGCTCTGGTCCTGCTCAGGGTCCCAGGGCTATCCTGTGCTGCCTACTCAGCTGCTGAGGAACTTATGCAAAGAGGTCATCTTTGTTTTGTGTTTGAGCGTCAGGCTGCCCTGCCCCGCCAAGAGCATCCTCACCTGGGACTTTGTTCACTTGACAGCGCAGATGGGGTGTTTCTCATAGCCGTGGGCTCTTCCCAATGTGGGTGTGAACTCCAAGGCACAGATGGGTAGCAGGCTGAACCCAAGGTTTCTGTTGCTCTTCTCATTCAGGTACAGTTAGCCTCGGCAGAGGAGCAGAAGGCAGAAGGGGCCACAGACTGTTCTTGGCCTGAGCCCAAGGGACTTAGGCTCATTTCCAGACTTGCCAGGTCCCTGGGGTCAAGCAGACACCAGGCTGCTAATTGAGCAGATGGAGGTCTTGGTGCAGCTGCCCCACATGGGACTATTTCTCCGTTAGGGGAGTAGGCAGAGTAAGGGCCATGAACGCATACACTGTGCAGGGACCCTACAATGGGTAAAGGATTGTGGGAGATGACAGAGTCCAGCTATACCCAAGATAGGAGCCATGAATACAGAGCCACAGAAGTCTTTGTGAAAAACCAGAGAGCTTTGGAGAACTGCAGCTCCTAGCAGAATGAGTAGTGTGTGTGTGTGCGTGTGTGTGTGCGTGTGTGTGTTGTGTGTGATGTGTACGTTGTGTGCGTGTGTGGTGTGTGTGCATGCACATGCATGCGTGTGTGTGCGTGCATGTGTGTGTGTGGTGTGTGCATGTGTGTGGTGTGTGAGGTGTGTGCATGTGTGTGTATGTGTGTGTGGTATGGTGTGAGTGTGGTGTGTGTGTATGTGTGTGGTGTGTGTGTGCATGCATGCATGTGTGTGTGTGCATGCATGCACATATGTTGGGGGCATACTGGCATAGCTCAAGGGACAGCAACTCCACCCTTCCTCCTACCTTCACCTGAAATCCAAGGAGGGGGTTTCCTTCCTCCTCTGTCTGTCCTCACCCACATCCTAATCGATTCTTTTGTCCACCAGTGTGTCATTGTCAGATATCAGCTACCCAGGTAGCCTTTAACTCCCATACCCAGTTCTGGCCCGTATAGTTTACTGACCTCTGGGGTATCTGGCTGCTATGTCTGGAATCTAAGGGTCTCCTAACAGGCTAAACTGGAAGTCAGAGGGCAGAGGACTGTGCTGTTTTTTCCTCTAATGGAACAGGCGCCACCTGTTCCATTGACTGAGTGCAGGTCAAATCATGGTTCTTCATGGATGCCCTTCCTGAGGCAAATAGGAGGCAAAGAGCCACTGTCAGGGCCACACAGAGACCTGCTTCCGAGACAATCAGTGACTCCCACCTAGCTACTGCTGCCCTAGGTCTCAGAACCAGTAATGGCTACCATGTCACGCTGTTATTCTGTGTGCATTATGTTGTGGTGGGGTGTGTATGTGTGTTTATATGTGTTCTTGTATTTTGAGACAATCTCTCTCTCTCTCTCTTGCAACTGGCACATACTGAGTAGGCTAGATTGGGTTGTCTGTCTGTCTCTACTTCCCCAGACTAGATTACAAGCACACACCACCACGTCTGGCCCTTGTCGTGGTGCTGGGGATGGAACTCAGGTCTTCATTCTTTTGTGGCACGCACATCACTGACTGAGCCATCTCCCCAGCCACGTGTCCTCTCTTTGTGGACCATGGATGCCCCTTCTGCATTCAGCCCAATGCAGCAGTGCACCCCAGGATTTGCTGGGGCTCCAAGCTTCTCCTGCTGGGAGCCGGGCAGAGCCATCAGTCTAACTGGGTGGGCGGGTGACTCGGTTTCATTATTTGCTCATGACCTTGTCCCAGTGAATGAGAGGATGTGTAGCAGAGAGAAGCTCTTGGCTCGGAGTGTATTAAAGAATGTGAACCATGGACTCGCTGATGCGTCTTTCCCACTCATCTGACTTTGTTGTCCCTGCCTGGTGGAAGCAGCCACTTGGGAGTCCACAGGCAAGCCTTGTCTTTGGAGAAGGGCCTGGTTTTCAGGATGCTGTCTGATCCAGGGATGGTTTTTCTGATAAGTGTACCCCATATTGATTTGGGGTTCAGTGTATGGGTTCAGACTTTATCTCTGGTGCCCCCCCAGCTATGACTTTAGGGGGAGTATGAGGCCACATGCTGAGGCACAGTTTTGTTCTCTGTAAGCAGGGTGGTACTAATTCTGATGCCTGCTTAGGTCACAGAGATGAGCTGTGAGATCCCAATGACAGCATCTGGCCATGGCTGTGCCAGCCCTTTACATGCTGGTGGAGTTACAGAGAAGCTGACTGCAAGAACTGGGCGTGAGCTCATCTTCCTGCTGCTGCTTCCTATGCGGTTGACTCTGCCTCTCCCCCACCTTCCTTTCTCTCTCCAAGGAGTAAAGAGTCTTTAGGCAAGTGATGTCCCTCAGCTGGAGTCCAACCCTGAATGCAATGCAGAATGGGCTGCATGCAGGGAGCCCATTTACAGTGTAGGAAGAAGTTGAGGGCCATTGGAACTGGGCCTGCTAGATGGGATGAGATGAACAGGAGCATAAGATAGTCATCTTCTGACACCCCAAACTCTTAGCCTCTTCCTCCGTTTCCAGTTCAGATGTGTGTGTGAGGTTGCAGAGAAGCGCATGTGTGGCCCAGGTCTGGAGTCCACCCTGTGCCTGGAGCAGGCTTCTCCGTGCTCCTACAGGAAGCCCAAGGGATGATCTCATGAGGGAAAAGATAGCTATGCAACAAGAAAGGACTGGAGAGCAGAGGGGTGGAGCTGGCCTTAGGGTCTAGAAAGGCACAGTGCAGTGCTGGGAAGTGACCAGAGGAGGGCAGAGCTGAGACTGGGAGAAGGGATGTGGTCCAGGTGGGGTGGAGTGTGTGAGGGTGACTTCAAGGGCTTTCCACCGTGATGGAGAATTGCTGCAGGAGCCTCAGAAGGGAGAATCCAGCATTGTTCTGTGACCGTGCAGAGTTAGGGGTGCTTCCGCAGTTGAACGGTTGAGACAGAGAGAGTGGCTGGCTGGTAGGAACTGGAGACCAAGCGTGGGGTTCCTGAAGCAACAACAGGAAGGAGGAAGTGGGATCTGACCATCTGGTGGCTGGGACAGGGCATCTGTGGAGATGGCCAGGTGTAAGACCTGCGGAGGACTGAGACAGGGCTAGAGGACAAGGCCACAGCTGCCTTAGGAGCCCTGAAGCAGTGGTCAGAAAGGCTGTAGGGTTCTGTGTGGGAGGCTCAAGAATGTGAGTGCATGGGTGGATGGGGAAGCCATGCGGGCAGGATGCTGTGGACACGGACATCCATGGGGGAAGCCATGTGCAACTCAGGTGTGGGAGTCAGGTGGGCAGGATGCTGTGGAGATGAACATGAGTGTTATTTAAGTCATTAAGTTTATTTATTATTTGTTATTAAGTTATTTAAGGGAGAGCTATGGGGGAGGGGGAAGCAGTTCTGGGGAAAGACAGCCACTTTAAGGAGAAGCCTGGAAGCCAGGAAGGGGGGCATCATGGTGCCCTGGGACAAGGTGTTCCACTATGAGGTTATGAAAGGGACCAGAGTCAACCACAGAGAGGGGGCTGGTGACCCCAGGGAGGATAGAACTGAAGTAGGATTAGATGAGGGAGCGGCACACCCACTGGAGCCTGATCCAGGGAGGTCACCCTGAACCTATGCTCTCTCTGTCTCCCCACTGTCCAGGGACATTTCCGCTTTCTGTATTCCCTCCTGGTTCCCAGGGAGCCAGATGATGGGATATCCACTCATGAAGCTAAACTGAGCTCCGGCGACCCACCCGGGCAACATCATTTCAGCCGTGAGACACCTTCTACTCCCTTGACCCAGACCTAAACCCTAGCGCTATCTCTGACCCCCCCTTTAAACACCTTTTCTTTACTGCTACTGTGTCCAAAGGCCGCAATGTTGCCTGCCCCATGCTGAGACGTGCACAGGACCACTCAGACGTGCACAGAACCACTCAGACGTGCTCAGAACCACGTAGACGTGCACAGAACCACTTAGATGTGCACAGAGCCACCCCTCCCCCGCGTAGGACTACACCAGATCCCACAAGATTTGGGGGGTCCAAGGGACTGCTTCCTACAGACTAGAAACCACAGCAGCCCGTGCCTTTCCCAGAGTCCCACCCTACCTAGGCACCCGTTTCTGCCTCTTCACTGGGCAGTGTTCCCCCTTGTTTCCTGGAAGCCCTGAGCTAGTTTGCTGATTGTCCAGAAGGTTCATCACTGTACACCCAGGGGAGAACTCAGGACCCTTTGCCAAGAGATGACATGAGCAATGCAGGGTCAGGGGATGCCCTGAGTGTGTGGGCAGCATCTGTCCTTAGCTTTCATGGCCCATCTCCCAGCTTACACTGGGCTGTCTTCTCCCTCTTTGGGTCCCAAGACACTGTCACTGTCTCACTATGGGTCACTGCAGGTGGCCCACATGGCTTGGGCCCACATCTCCTTTGTCATGATCCTAATTTCTCGGGTCAGCTGCTCGTTCTTTATTCCACGTGAACCTAAAATCTAGGAAAAGACTGGGGGATCCTCACTGACTGGCTCCAGGTGTCCTCAGCTGGCTCCATGAACAAGTCAGACAGAAGGACAGCAAGAGGAATGCATGGATGTGGATACTGAGTTCCTGAGTACAAGAATGTGCCCAGGGAGAGGAGCTGGCAGAGGCATGCCCTCTCCTACATCTTTCTCTGAGCGCCACCTCCCCTATGCTATTGGGGTACACTCAGATGGTTTGAAATTTTCTGTGAATCACTGCTGCTCATATAGTGCCAAAGAGATGGGGGAGCTGCCCAGAGACCCCCAGGAATGTTCTGCTCCACAATACCCAAGGTTCAGGCTGCACTGGGTGGAGGGTGGCCCAGGCTTCACAGTGGGTCTTGAAGATGCACGCCTGGCAGCTGAGTGGAGCTTCTGGGGGCACGTTTCCCGGGTGTGAGGTGTGGAAAGTTCCACATGGCCCTGGCATGGGACCGGGCAAGGCTCTGCCTCAGCGGGCAAAAGGAGGGTGCTGTGTGCATACCTCCAGGGAGACAGCCGTTCCCCCCATGCACAAGTCGTATCTTGTTGGCATTTCCATCCGTTTAATCACAGGCTCAGGGAGACTGTGGGAAACACCATCAGGATGGAGGTCTCCACAGGGCCAGGCTTCTGTCAGTCACTAACCCCAGGCAAGCTGAACCCAGGCTCAGACATGCCTACGGGAGAAGACTGGGGCTCCAGAAGCCTACTTACCCTTAGAAGAGTCCACACAGCTTCGGCTGGTGTTCTAGAAACGAGAGGACCCTGTCTCCCCATCTCTCACAGCAGAATAAGCACAACGCTTGCCCCAGGGAGAAGGAAAGAGGCCCAGGAGTGAGCAGGTTTCTGCAGAACTCTGAGATCCCACAGAAGCAGATGTGGTCACGGGGGCCATAGCACCCATACCTGTGCTGGATGGGTAAACGCTACTTGGCTCCTACCCAGAGTTACTACCTTAGTAAGGGAGCAGAAACGGCCATGGGACAACAGAGCAAGTGCCCAGGGGCTAGGCCTTGTACTGAGGAAGTGGCATTGAAATGTGAAGTACTTGCGGCTGCACAGGGGAGCCTGAGGGACCACAGCATATGGGGACCTGGCAGCTAGCTCTTTTCTTCAGTTCCCATCCCAACTACTTCTATGAGAAATCCAGGGTGGGCCACAACTGCCTTGTCATCACAGGAGGGGGCACACAGAGGCCGGGGTGATTTTCAGAAAGAAAGGAGGGAAGAGAGGAAGGAGGAGGCAGGGGTGAAGAAAGGATGGGGAAAGAAAGAAAAGACAGACCAAAAAGGGGAGGAAGGGAGCAAGCCAAGGAAGAAAAGAAGGGAGAAAAGAGAGAGGAAGGTAAGGAAGGAAGGAAGGAAGGAAGGAAGGAAGGAAGGAAGGAAGGAAGGAAGGGGGGAGGAAATGATAGAGAGAGGGAGGAAGGGAAGGAGGAAGGAAGGAAGGAAGGAAGGAAGGAAGGAAGGAAGGAAGGAAGGAAGGAGTAGTGGAGAGAGGGAGGAAGGGAAGGAGGGAGAAAATGAAGGAAGAAGGGAAGGAGGAAAGGAAGGAGGAAACGATGGAGAGAGGGAGGAAGAGTAGAGAGGAGAAGGAAGAAAGGGAGACCTAGACAAAGGTCCTCTTCTACTAAGACGGCAGTGGACTTGGGTGGGGTTGTGCTCCAGGCTCTCCAGGTATCCTGTGTGGTCTATGAAGCCATGTTCCCCTCTGT